GTTCCCCTTGGCGCCTTAGCGCCCACCTAGGCAGGGGAGCCTGCAGCCCTGTCTCCGCCCGGGTGGGTGCGGGTGCGGGTCTCCTGGCGCCGCTGCTCCTGCAGGTGACCCGCAGCGCCCCGCCTCCTTCCTGCCAACGCTTGCACGCCGGCCCTCCAAGGCTTTGCTGTGTGTCCAGAGACTGTCTGTCTCGGTCGGAGGCGCAGAGGCCGGCCCGCGCGGTGCGTGAGCCTTCGGCGGCTCGCTGGCTGGATCGGGACACGGTCCGGCCGGCGGTGGAGAGGAGCGCCTGTGGGCCTCCGGGTGCTTCCCGTCAGCACGGGCAGTTCCCTCAGAGCCCTCGCCTCTCCCTCTGCCTGTATGGGTGGGGGTGGGGGTGCGGGGAGTCCGCGACGGTGGGGGATAGCGCGGGACGAAGGTGTTCTCCCCGGCGCGTCGCCTCCCACGGGGGTCAGGGCACAGGCGCAAAGCGTCCCGGAAAGAGGGGAGGGCCAGGAGCGGCCGGAGCCGGGCAGTGGGAGAAGGAGTCCCGGGTGTGTGCGTGGAGTGAGGGCCCGGGAGGTGTGGCGCCGGCGGGCACTGGCCGAGAGTGGGGCTGGCCACTGAGGCAGGGTGTCTGCGGGGGCTCGGGTGCGGCAGGGCACCCTGCCCGGCGCCTCGCCTGCACCCGTGCACCTGTGCGGGCGGGCGAGCTGTGAGGTAGGGGACGGGACACGCTGGGCGTGTGCCTGAGGAGCCTGTGGGAGACCGGGACTGCCGGCCTTGAGTGTAGGACGTGGGTGTGGGGTCCAAGGGGTCGGTGGTAGGTGGAGGGTTTGAGCCTGGAGGCTGGAAGGAGCGGCACGTGGCACGTGGGTGGCGGTGGGGAGTCGGTCCCGGTGCCAGAGGGCTGGGAGACCCCGTGGTGGCGGTGGACGGCGGCGGGAGAGGTGCCGGGAGGCCGCTGGGCTGCGCTGGGCTGCGCTGCAGCAGGGTGGCCGGGCAGACGAGCGGGTGAGCGAGCGAGCGAGCGAGGTGCAGGGGGCGGGAGTGGCAAGCAGGCAGCTGCGCTGGCGGCCGGGGCCGGCCGAGGGAAAGAGAGAGAGGGAGGGAGGGACTGTTCCTCCCTCTGGGTGTCGGAGCTGTTCCCACGGGGTGAGGAATTCCACCGCCCCGGACATGACCATTCCCCGTCATCGTCATGGGGACCACCAGCCACGTCTCAGGTGTCAGGTGTCGTCGTGGGCTTGAGATTCAGGGAGGCCAAAGGGACAGACGCAACACAGGATCATCGACCAGTGAGGACTCGGAAAGGAGGGCGCGTGGAGGCGGGTGACAGGGGTGGGGACGTTGGGGCAAGAGGGGCTGGTGGGGGTGGAGGGGCCGGCGGCGCTGGTGCTCGTGTTGCTGCTGCTGCTGCTGCCGCCGCTGCCACCACCGCCGCCACCGGTGATGGTGGTGGCGAACTTTGGCGCTGTTGGTGACGGCGTCCCCGGGGCCCCGGTGGAGACGGTGGACTCAGTGAGCGATGGGGGTGGGTGGGGTCCGGGAAGGCCTTGGGTGCCGTCGCCGGCGATGCCCATGCCCGGCGCTGGATTCGGTCCTGCTGCTGCTGCTGCTATGGCAGTGGTGATGTGCTGGTGGTCCTGGGGCTTGGTGGCGGACTCGGTGCTGGTGGGGTCGTGGTGAGGGAGGGTGGAGGACTTCAGGGCCGTGGGCCATGCTACCCGTGCCGGTGTGCTGATGGTGGCCTCGGTGGTGGCGGTGACCGCGGAGGACTTCAGTCTGTTGGCGACCATGCCCACGCTGGCCTGCTGGCAGTGGGCACGTCCTGCTGCTGCTGCTGCTGCTGCTGCTGCTGGTGCAACTGCCTCTGGCACGGTGGCGGTAGTCCTGGTGCTGGTGCTGGTCGTGGTGTGGGGATGGTGGTCCTGGGGGTTGGTGGTGGACCAAGTGCTGCGGGGGTCGTGGAGGCCGGCCGGGCGGGGGGGGGGGGGAGGTGACTGACCTCCGTGCCCTTGGCCGTGATGCCCATGCTGGTGCGCCGCCGTTCGTGGACCCGACGTGCTGGTGACAGCCGTGGCGGTGGCGCTGTCTCTCGAGGCTGGGTGTGCTAGCGCCGGTGCCGGCTAAGGTGGATGGACCTGGTGCTCGCGGTGACTTTAGCAGTGGGGAGTGGCCCGCGTTTGAAGGAGACCGCGGCCAGGTCGCCGTAGAGAGCATCCGGGGCTGCCAACGGGAGGATGTCGAGGAGCCGTGAAACGGGGCTCCCTGGCGCGCTCCAAGGAGTGGCTGAGGGCCCCTCCAGAAGAGGGGTGGCAAGGTGGTTGGTGGTCGGTCGTCGTGCAAAGAGAGGAGGGTTTGGGGAGTGTGGGTAGAATGAGCCATTGAGGGAGGGAATGTGAAAGGCATGGAGGTGGGCTGTGCCCGGGCGGGCGCGGGCGGTGCTTGGAAGCATTGCTTGAAGTGACGTGGGTGAGCGAAGCGCCGTCCGGGTCGGGTCAGGGTCACGGAGAGAAAAAGGGCAAGGACAACGTGGGGCCGGGCAAGGGACCTGGGCCACTTCGGGCGGCAGGGGTCGGGCAGGCAGCCGGGTGGAGCGTGGCGGCCAGGGCGGCCAAGGGCGAGAGAACAGACAAGGAGGCAGGGGGAAGCGGGGCGGGGGGGGGGGGGGGGGGGGGCAGGAGGGCAGGGCCCCGCGGCCTGAGCACACCTGGTTCAGGCTCAGGCCCTGTGGCTTGAGCGCGTGCGCGAGGAAGCCGGGGGCGCGCGCGGCCAAAAGGGGGCGGCGCGCTGCATGGGCCGGGAATCGAACCCGGGCCTCCCGCGTGGCAGGCGAGAATTCTACCACTGAACCACCCATGCACCGGTGGTGGCGGCCACCAGACGGCTTCCCCAGCGGCGCTCGTCGTCGTCCCGGCACGGCCAGTGGTGAGCACCCCCTGCGCGGGGGCGGGCGGCGGGCCCGCGGTCTGCAACACAGGCTCCACGCCCGTGCAGAGGCGCCGAGGGCTCGGGCTCGGGCTCGGGCTCGGGCCGGCGCGCGGCGTCCACGGTCCCAGCGAGGCCCCGAGGCGGACTAGGCTCACCCTGTGCCCTCTCCCTGGGGCGTGGCCGCCGCCAGACACTGTCCTGCCGCTGTCTTGGAGGAGCCTGGCCAAGCCTGACCCGCGCCCGATTCCCAGGCAGCGCGGGGCGTCTGTGGCCGGCGCAGCTCAGCGCGGACCTTCCCTTCCGTCCCGGCGCCCCCCCGGAGGCCCTTGGGCGGATGGCTGTCCGGCCCGTGCAGTGCGCGCCGGCGGGGGCCGGCTGGGGCCCGGAGCTCGGATTGTGTGCGCTCCCGGGGTGCCGCGGGGTGGGGGTGGGGGTGGGGGTGGGGGGGGGTGTGCGCGTGTGTGCGTGTCGCCGTCGGTGTCGTCGGCGGAGATGGGGGCCCGGTAGCGCCGCCCGGGGCCGCCGAGTAGCGCCCGAGCCAAGAGGCCAAAGAAAGGCGTGTGAGCTCTGCCCGCAGCTCTCCGTCGGGGCCGGCTGGGCTGCGGTGGGGGTGAGGCCGGCAGGTGCGCTTGGGCGGAGCGGCGGCCGGCTGGCTGGCGGGCGGCGCGGTGAGGGAGCGCGCTGGCGTCCTGGAGTCCCGGCCCCGCAGCGGCTTCCGTCGCGGAGACGCGCGCCCTGGAGCCCGGGTCGGGGGCCCGGGGAGGCAGGGCTGCCTTGCGCTCAGGGCTCCCCGGAGCCACCACGGCGGGGTGGACCCCCCCGCCCCCCCCTCCCGGGCCAGGCCCAGCGAACGGGGCGGGGGTCCCGTCTCTGGCTGGCGCGCGGAGGGCTCGGCTGCCCGCGTGGCGGGGGTGTGGCCGTGGTGAGGCCTCCAGGTGGCCACGCCTCGTGGGCGCCCCGGGGAGGGAGGGGGTGGAGACCACGGAATGAATGGGGGCCGGCGGAAAGGACAGGCCGTGGGGACCCCGCGCTCCCGGCGGGCGGGCGGAGGTGTAGGGCGGGGCTGGGAGAGCGAGGAGGCGAGCGAGGCGCGCCCCTCAGCGGGCACAGGTGGGAGCGTGGCCCGGCCCGCGCGGGGCTGTCGGCATTTCGGCCCGCGGCTGGCCTGCAGGGGGCGGCGGCGGGAAGGAAGAGGGCAAACGGAGCCCCCGGAGAGCCGGGCAGGAGAGACGTGCCGCCGAGTTGCCGAGGCCCGCGGCCGCCGTGGGATGAGGAGGAGGGAGAGGCGCAGCGAGGTGGCGGGGGAGGGAGGGCGCGGGGGCGCCAAGCCTGTGGCCGGGAGGGCCGAGGCGCTGCAGCTGCGTGGGTCCCGGGCCACGCGTGCCAGGGCGCCGCCAGCCCGCAGCGGCGTGTAAGGCGGGACAGACAGGGCGTGGTCCAGGCCCGGGTGCGGAGAGCCCGCGTTGGGCGGGCCAAAAGGTGGGCGTGTCAGGAGTGGGATTCGAACCCACGCCTCCAGGGGAGACTGCGACCTGAACGCAGCGCCTTAGACCGCTCGGCCATCCTGACGGCGGGCCTGGGCGCGCCGCCGCTCGCCTGGCTGGGACCCGGCGCCGACCCCGGAGCTGGCTGGCGGCCGTGTGGGTGCGCGACGGACGGACGGACAGACGGACGGACGGACGGGACTCGCGTCCCGGTCGACGAGGCCAACGGCCCGCCGACTGACTCTGCTGGCGCCGCCGCCCTCGCCGCGGTCCTCGCCGCCGCCCCCTCCCCCTCGCCCTCGCGCTTCCCGGGGCGCGCACCCTGCTGCCGGCGTCCGGCCCCCCGCCGCCCGCCGCGGCCCATCCCCGGCGCGGGGCCTCCTGCTCGCTCGCGCAGCCCTGCTTGCCGTGTCGGGCGTCTTCTCCCGCCGCCATCCCCGTGCGGCTGGGCCGGGGCGGCGGCGGGTCCGGGGCCCGACGCTCCGAGTCGGGCCAGGGGGACTGCTGTGCGCGCTGACGCGGCGGCCGGGGGGTCGGGCCGGGTGGGCCGTGGCCCGGGGCACGTGGCGGGCGCCTGGCAGGACGGGCGCGCGGGACGTCGAGGGCCCGGGTGGGCGTGGGCAGGCAGGCAGGCAGGCAGGCCGGCGGGCGGGCGGGCGGGCGGGCGGGCGGAGAGGGGTCGGGCGCCCGGGCGGCCGCCGCCGCCGTCCTCGTTAGTATAGTGGTGAGTATCCCCGCCTGTCACGCGGGAGACCGGGGTTCGATTCCCCGACGGGGAGGCGAGACACGCCCTCTTTTGGTCGCGGCCGCCGCGCTGCCCAAACGGACGCCGGCCCCCAGGGCCCTCCTTCTCCTCCTTCTCCTCCGTCGTGCCTCCGCCGGGCCCCGTGCGCCCAGAGGCGCGGGGCGACCGCGGGGGCCCGTCCTGCCCGCCGTCGACCCGACCCCCCGCACCCCCTGGCGCCCTGGCGCGTGCGGGCTCGGCCCAGCCCAGCCGGGACCTCCTGACGGGAGGCTGGCCGCCACGGGCTCCTCGCTCACGCGACGGACAGCTGCCCGGCTGCCGGGCTTCCCGTGGAGGTGGCCGTGGGGGCCGGGCCGACTGTGCGGGCGGGGCGGGGCTGGGCGGGGAGGGGAGGGGAGGGGAGGGGAGGGGAGGGGAGGGGAGGGGAGCGGGTGGCGGGAGGGAAGCGGGCGCCGGGGGCAAGGCCCGGGAGCCGCAGGGCGGCGAGAGCGCCCCCCAGAGGCGGGCGGCGGAGGCGGCGGGCGGTCGTGCCTGCGGAGCAGCAAGGGCTGCGTGGGGCTGGCGCGGGTGGGGCGCCGGGCGGCCGCTGGTGGCGCCCGCGACGGCGCAGAGCTGCGGCCGGCCGGCACGTCGGGGCAGGGCCGCGGCAGGCGGCGGAGGCGGTGGCGAGAGGGCGAGAGGGCGAGGAGGCGCTGGTGCGGAGCCTGGGCCGGCGTCCGGGGGCGGCCCGGGCTGTGCAGCGTTGGTGGTATAGTGGTGAGCATAGCTGCCTTCCAAGCAGTTGACCCGGGTTCGATTCCCGGCCAACGCAGCTGGCCAACGTTTTGCGCGGCTCCAGGGCCCCGGTGCTCAGGCCCGATGGGAGCCGGGAGCCTGGCGCGACGCTGAGTGCGTGTGTGCGTGTGTCTGTGTGTGTGAGAGAGGGAGAGAGGAGGGGGAGGGGGAGGGGGAGGAGGAGGGGGAGGAGGCGGCGGCGCGCAGCGTTTTGACGGCGCGGCGGGCGGGCCGGCGGGAGGGCGGGCGGTCGGGCCAGGTGGCTCGGCGGGGCCGGCGGGCGGCTGCGCGTGGCCCGGCGGGGGCCCTGGAGGCCAAGCAGAGGCGAGTGGGCGGTAGGGAAGGAGGCGCCGGGTCCAGGGCGCACGGGCCAGGCGCGCAGCCTGACGCTCCCTGGTGGTCTAGTGGTTAGGATTCGGCGCTCTCACCGCCGCGGCCCGGGTTCGATTCCCGGTCAGGGAAGCCTTTCTTCTTCCTCTCGCAAGCCTGGCCTGGCCCGTGCCTAGCGACGGACCTCGCGCGGCGCAGCGCCGCCGCCGCCGCCGCACACCCCTTTTAGCGAAAGCTCGCTCGTGCGTCTCCCTGGCCCCGACCGAGGCTGCGCGTGCGCACGAGGCCACCCGCCCCGTCGAGCCCAAGGCTTGCCGAGCGGTGCCCTGGCGGGCTCCGTCGGGCCGGCTCAAGCGTTTTGGCCTCGCTGGCTGGCTGGCCGGCCGGCAGGCGGGCCGACTGGAGGTCTCGGCGTCTCGCGGCCGCCTCCCCCGGACGCTCGCCTGGCTCCCCGTCTCCCTCCGCCCCAGGCCCGACAGGCCGGACGCCGTCCGACCCCAGCCGAGGCCACCGACAGGCCGGGCGCCTCGGGCCTCCGTGGGTGCTTGGACTCTCCCGCCAGCACCACTGCCGCCGGGAGAAAGGTCGTGGCGGCTCGCAGCGCTCCCCCCCTCCCGGCCCCCCCGCTGGCTCCTTGGTGAGGTGCTACTCGGCGGCGGCCGCGCTGGGGGGATGTGGGGGCGCCGGGCCGAGGCGGAGGGGGCCGGGTGTGGGGAGGGTGAGCCACCTGTCTCTCTCTGAGTCGGGGGTCACTTGCTGGAGCCCCCGGTGCCTTCTCTCGGCCGTCGGCCTGGCAACCGCCAGCTGTGGCGGTGCACGTGGGTGGCGGTCTTGGGTGGGGATGGGAGCAGAGCGCCGGCCGCCGCCGGCCCCCGCCGCCCCCGCCCGGGCAGGCGGTGGTTGGAAAGCGGTTGTGGGCGTCTCACGGTGGCCGGACCACCCGACAGGGGAGGCCAGAGAGCAGGGAGATAGATGCAGGAGGCCAGTGGGGCGAACCCGCGGGCCGGGCTGGTGGGAAGGGGCGGAGGCCCCCGGGGGACAGACGGGGTGCCCTTGGAGGCCCCGGGTCAGTCCAACTGCACGACCGCTACCCCGAATCCTGGGGCAGAGGGGCAGGCGTGTTCCCCGACACAGCTTCCTCCACCCCACGGCCCCCGGCCCCGGCCCCGGCCCCGGCCCCGGCCCCGGCTCCGGCCCCGGCCCCGGCCCCGGCCCCGGCTCCGGCCCCAGCCCCAGCACCAGCACCAGCCCCAGCCCCAGCCCCAGCCCCAGCCCCAGCCCAGCCCCACGTGGCCGGCGCCCCAGCTGGATGCCGCTCGGAAGGTGTTCCCCTTGGCGCCTTAGCGCCCACCTAGGCAGGGGAGCCTGCAGCCCTGTCTCCGCCCGGGTGGGTGCGGGTGCGGGTCTCCTGGCGCCGCTGCTCCTGCAGGTGACCCGCAGCGCCCCGCCTCCTTCCTGCCAACGCTTGCACGCCGGCCCTCCAAGGCTTTGCTGTGTGTCCAGAGACTGTCTGTCTCGGTCGGAGGCGCAGAGGCCGGCCCGCGCGGTGCGTGAGCCTTCGGCGGCTCGCTGGCTGGATCGGGACACGGTCCGGCCGGCGGTGGAGAGGAGCGCCTGTGGGCCTCCGGGTGCTTCCCGTCAGCACGGGCAGTTCCCTCAGAGCCCTCGCCTCTCCCTCTGCCTGTATGGGTGGGGGTGGGGGTGCGGGGAGTCCGCGACGGTGGGGGATAGCGCGGGACGAAGGTGTTCTCCCCGGCGCGTCGCCTCCCACGGGGGTCAGGGCACAGGCGCAAAGCGTCCCGGAAAGAGGGGAGGGCCAGGAGCGGCCGGAGCCGGGCAGTGGGAGAAGGAGTCCCGGGTGTGTGCGTGGAGTGAGGGCCCGGGAGGTGTGGCGCCGGCGGGCACTGGCCGAGAGTGGGGCTGGCCACTGAGGCAGGGTGTCTGCGGGGGCTCGGGTGCGGCAGGGCACCCTGCCCGGCGCCTCGCCTGCACCCGTGCACCTGTGCGGGCGGGCGAGCTGTGAGGTAGGGGACGGGACACGCTGGGCGTGTGCCTGAGGAGCCTGTGGGAGACCGGGACTGCCGGCCTTGAGTGTAGGACGTGGGTGTGGGGTCCAAGGGGTCGGTGGTAGGTGGAGGGTTTGAGCCTGGAGGCTGGAAGGAGCGGCACGTGGCACGTGGGTGGCGGTGGGGAGTCGGTCCCGGTGCCAGAGGGCTGGGAGACCCCGTGGTGGCGGTGGACGGCGGCGGGAGAGGTGCCGGGAGGCCGCTGGGCTGCGCTGGGCTGCGCTGCAGCAGGGTGGCCGGGCAGACGAGCGGGTGAGCGAGCGAGCGAGCGAGGTGCAGGGGGCGGGAGTGGCAAGCAGGCAGCTGCGCTGGCGGCCGGGGCCGGCCGAGGGAAAGAGAGAGAGGGAGGGAGGGACTGTTCCTCCCTCTGGGTGTCGGAGCTGTTCCCACGGGGTGAGGAATTCCACCGCCCCGGACATGACCATTCCCCGTCATCGTCATGGGGACCACCAGCCACGTCTCAGGTGTCAGGTGTCGTCGTGGGCTTGAGATTCAGGGAGGCCAAAGGGACAGACGCAACACAGGATCATCGACCAGTGAGGACTCGGAAAGGAGGGCGCGTGGAGGCGGGTGACAGGGGTGGGGACGTTGGGGCAAGAGGGGCTGGTGGGGGTGGAGGGGCCGGCGGCGCTGGTGCTCGTGTTGCTGCTGCTGCTGCTGCCGCCGCTGCCACCACCGCCGCCACCGGTGATGGTGGTGGCGAACTTTGGCGCTGTTGGTGACGGCGTCCCCGGGGCCCCGGTGGAGACGGTGGACTCAGTGAGCGATGGGGGTGGGTGGGGTCCGGGAAGGCCTTGGGTGCCGTCGCCGGCGATGCCCATGCCCGGCGCTGGATTCGGTCCTGCTGCTGCTGCTGCTATGGCAGTGGTGATGTGCTGGTGGTCCTGGGGCTTGGTGGCGGACTCGGTGCTGGTGGGGTCGTGGTGAGGGAGGGTGGAGGACTTCAGGGCCGTGGGCCATGCTACCCGTGCCGGTGTGCTGATGGTGGCCTCGGTGGTGGCGGTGACCGCGGAGGACTTCAGTCTGTTGGCGACCATGCCCACGCTGGCCTGCTGGCAGTGGGCACGTCCTGCTGCTGCTGCTGCTGCTGCTGCTGCTGGTGCAACTGCCTCTGGCACGGTGGCGGTAGTCCTGGTGCTGGTGCTGGTCGTGGTGTGGGGATGGTGGTCCTGGGGGTTGGTGGTGGACCAAGTGCTGCGGGGGTCGTGGAGGCCGGCCGGGCGGGGGGGGGGGGAGGTGACTGACCTCCGTGCCCTTGGCCGTGATGCCCATGCTGGTGCGCCGCCGTTCGTGGACCCGACGTGCTGGTGACAGCCGTGGCGGTGGCGCTGTCTCTCGAGGCTGGGTGTGCTAGCGCCGGTGCCGGCTAAGGTGGATGGACCTGGTGCTCGCGGTGACTTTAGCAGTGGGGAGTGGCCCGCGTTTGAAGGAGACCGCGGCCAGGTCGCCGTAGAGAGCATCCGGGGCTGCCAACGGGAGGATGTCGAGGAGCCGTGAAACGGGGCTCCCTGGCGCGCTCCAAGGAGTGGCTGAGGGCCCCTCCAGAAGAGGGGTGGCAAGGTGGTTGGTGGTCGGTCGTCGTGCAAAGAGAGGAGGGTTTGGGGAGTGTGGGTAGAATGAGCCATTGAGGGAGGGAATGTGAAAGGCATGGAGGTGGGCTGTGCCCGGGCGGGCGCGGGCGGTGCTTGGAAGCATTGCTTGAAGTGACGTGGGTGAGCGAAGCGCCGTCCGGGTCGGGTCAGGGTCACGGAGAGAAAAAGGGCAAGGACAACGTGGGGCCGGGCAAGGGACCTGGGCCACTTCGGGCGGCAGGGGTCGGGCAGGCAGCCGGGTGGAGCGTGGCGGCCAGGGCGGCCAAGGGCGAGAGAACAGACAAGGAGGCAGGGGGAAGCGGGGCGGGGGGGGGGGGGGGGGGGGGCAGGAGGGCAGGGCCCCGCGGCCTGAGCACACCTGGTTCAGGCTCAGGCCCTGTGGCTTGAGCGCGTGCGCGAGGAAGCCGGGGGCGCGCGCGGCCAAAAGGGGGCGGCGCGCTGCATGGGCCGGGAATCGAACCCGGGCCTCCCGCGTGGCAGGCGAGAATTCTACCACTGAACCACCCATGCACCGGTGGTGGCGGCCACCAGACGGCTTCCCCAGCGGCGCTCGTCGTCGTCCCGGCACGGCCAGTGGTGAGCACCCCCTGCGCGGGGGCGGGCGGCGGGCCCGCGGTCTGCAACACAGGCTCCACGCCCGTGCAGAGGCGCCGAGGGCTCGGGCTCGGGCTCGGGCTCGGGCCGGCGCGCGGCGTCCACGGTCCCAGCGAGGCCCCGAGGCGGACTAGGCTCACCCTGTGCCCTCTCCCTGGGGCGTGGCCGCCGCCAGACACTGTCCTGCCGCTGTCTTGGAGGAGCCTGGCCAAGCCTGACCCGCGCCCGATTCCCAGGCAGCGCGGGGCGTCTGTGGCCGGCGCAGCTCAGCGCGGACCTTCCCTTCCGTCCCGGCGCCCCCCCGGAGGCCCTTGGGCGGATGGCTGTCCGGCCCGTGCAGTGCGCGCCGGCGGGGGCCGGCTGGGGCCCGGAGCTCGGATTGTGTGCGCTCCCGGGGTGCCGCGGGGTGGGGGTGGGGGTGGGGGTGGGGGGGGGTGTGCGCGTGTGTGCGTGTCGCCGTCGGTGTCGTCGGCGGAGATGGGGGCCCGGTAGCGCCGCCCGGGGCCGCCGAGTAGCGCCCGAGCCAAGAGGCCAAAGAAAGGCGTGTGAGCTCTGCCCGCAGCTCTCCGTCGGGGCCGGCTGGGCTGCGGTGGGGGTGAGGCCGGCAGGTGCGCTTGGGCGGAGCGGCGGCCGGCTGGCTGGCGGGCGGCGCGGTGAGGGAGCGCGCTGGCGTCCTGGAGTCCCGGCCCCGCAGCGGCTTCCGTCGCGGAGACGCGCGCCCTGGAGCCCGGGTCGGGGGCCCGGGGAGGCAGGGCTGCCTTGCGCTCAGGGCTCCCCGGAGCCACCACGGCGGGGTGGACCCCCCCGCCCCCCCCTCCCGGGCCAGGCCCAGCGAACGGGGCGGGGGTCCCGTCTCTGGCTGGCGCGCGGAGGGCTCGGCTGCCCGCGTGGCGGGGGTGTGGCCGTGGTGAGGCCTCCAGGTGGCCACGCCTCGTGGGCGCCCCGGGGAGGGAGGGGGTGGAGACCACGGAATGAATGGGGGCCGGCGGAAAGGACAGGCCGTGGGGACCCCGCGCTCCCGGCGGGCGGGCGGAGGTGTAGGGCGGGGCTGGGAGAGCGAGGAGGCGAGCGAGGCGCGCCCCTCAGCGGGCACAGGTGGGAGCGTGGCCCGGCCCGCGCGGGGCTGTCGGCATTTCGGCCCGCGGCTGGCCTGCAGGGGGCGGCGGCGGGAAGGAAGAGGGCAAACGGAGCCCCCGGAGAGCCGGGCAGGAGAGACGTGCCGCCGAGTTGCCGAGGCCCGCGGCCGCCGTGGGATGAGGAGGAGGGAGAGGCGCAGCGAGGTGGCGGGGGAGGGAGGGCGCGGGGGCGCCAAGCCTGTGGCCGGGAGGGCCGAGGCGCTGCAGCTGCGTGGGTCCCGGGCCACGCGTGCCAGGGCGCCGCCAGCCCGCAGCGGCGTGTAAGGCGGGACAGACAGGGCGTGGTCCAGGCCCGGGTGCGGAGAGCCCGCGTTGGGCGGGCCAAAAGGTGGGCGTGTCAGGAGTGGGATTCGAACCCACGCCTCCAGGGGAGACTGCGACCTGAACGCAGCGCCTTAGACCGCTCGGCCATCCTGACGGCGGGCCTGGGCGCGCCGCCGCTCGCCTGGCTGGGACCCGGCGCCGACCCCGGAGCTGGCTGGCGGCCGTGTGGGTGCGCGACGGACGGACGGACAGACGGACGGACGGACGGGACTCGCGTCCCGGTCGACGAGGCCAACGGCCCGCCGACTGACTCTGCTGGCGCCGCCGCCCTCGCCGCGGTCCTCGCCGCCGCCCCCTCCCCCTCGCCCTCGCGCTTCCCGGGGCGCGCACCCTGCTGCCGGCGTCCGGCCCCCCGCCGCCCGCCGCGGCCCATCCCCGGCGCGGGGCCTCCTGCTCGCTCGCGCAGCCCTGCTTGCCGTGTCGGGCGTCTTCTCCCGCCGCCATCCCCGTGCGGCTGGGCCGGGGCGGCGGCGGGTCCGGGGCCCGACGCTCCGAGTCGGGCCAGGGGGACTGCTGTGCGCGCTGACGCGGCGGCCGGGGGGTCGGGCCGGGTGGGCCGTGGCCCGGGGCACGTGGCGGGCGCCTGGCAGGACGGGCGCGCGGGACGTCGAGGGCCCGGGTGGGCGTGGGCAGGCAGGCAGGCAGGCAGGCCGGCGGGCGGGCGGGCGGGCGGGCGGGCGGAGAGGGGTCGGGCGCCCGGGCGGCCGCCGCCGCCGTCCTCGTTAGTATAGTGGTGAGTATCCCCGCCTGTCACGCGGGAGACCGGGGTTCGATTCCCCGACGGGGAGGCGAGACACGCCCTCTTTTGGTCGCGGCCGCCGCGCTGCCCAAACGGACGCCGGCCCCCAGGGCCCTCCTTCTCCTCCTTCTCCTCCGTCGTGCCTCCGCCGGGCCCCGTGCGCCCAGAGGCGCGGGGCGACCGCGGGGGCCCGTCCTGCCCGCCGTCGACCCGACCCCCCGCACCCCCTGGCGCCCTGGCGCGTGCGGGCTCGGCCCAGCCCAGCCGGGACCTCCTGACGGGAGGCTGGCCGCCACGGGCTCCTCGCTCACGCGACGGACAGCTGCCCGGCTGCCGGGCTTCCCGTGGAGGTGGCCGTGGGGGCCGGGCCGACTGTGCGGGCGGGGCGGGGCTGGGCGGGGAGGGGAGGGGAGGGGAGGGGAGGGGAGGGGAGGGGAGCGGTTGGCGGGATGGAAGCGGGCGCCGGGGGCAAGGCCCGGGAGCCGCAGGGCGGCGAGAGCGCCCCCCAGAGGCGGGCGGCGGAGGCGGCGGGCGGTCGTGCCTGCGGAGCAGCAAGGGCTGCGTGGGGCTGGCGCGGGTGGGGCGCCGGGCGGCCGCTGGTGGCGCCCGCGACGGCGCAGAGCTGCGGCCGGCCGGCACGTCGGGGCAGGGCCGCGGCAGGCGGCGGAGGCGGTGGCGAGAGGGCGAGAGGGCGAGGAGGCGCTGGTGCGGAGCCTGGGCCGGCGTCCGGGGGCGGCCCGGGCTGTGCAGCGTTGGTGGTATAGTGGTGAGCATAGCTGCCTTCCAAGCAGTTGACCCGGGTTCGATTCCCGGCCAACGCAGCTGGCCAACGTTTTGCGCGGCTCCAGGGCCCCGGTGCTCAGGCCCGATGGGAGCCGGGAGCCTGGCGCGACGCTGAGTGCGTGTGTGCGTGTGTCTGTGTGTGTGAGAGAGGGAGAGAGGAGGGGGAGGGGGAGGGGGAGGAGGAGGGGGAGGAGGCGGCGGCGCGCAGCGTTTTGACGGCGCGGCGGGCGGGCCGGCGGGAGGGCGGGCGGTCGGGCCAGGTGGCTCGGCGGGGCCGGCGGGCGGCTGCGCGTGGCCCGGCGGGGGCCCTGGAGGCCAAGCAGAGGCGAGTGGGCGGTAGGGAAGGAGGCGCCGGGTCCAGGGCGCACGGGCCAGGCGCGCAGCCTGACGCTCCCTGGTGGTCTAGTGGTTAGGATTCGGCGCTCTCACCGCCGCGGCCCGGGTTCGATTCCCGGTCAGGGAAGCCTTTCTTCTTCCTCTCGCAAGCCTGGCCTGGCCCGTGCCTAGCGACGGACCTCCGCGGCGCAGCGCCGCCGCCGCCGCCGCACACCCCTTTTAGCGAAAGCTCGCTCGTGCGTCTCCCTGGCCCCGACCGAGGCTGCGCGTGCGCACGAGGCCACCCGCCCCGTCGAGCCCAAGGCTTGCCGAGCGGTGCCCTGGCGGGCTCCGTCGGGCCGGCTCAAGCGTTTTGGCCTCGCTGGCTGGCTGGCCGGCCGGCAGGCGGGCCGACTGGAGGTCTCGGCGTCTCGCGGCCGCCTCCCCCGGACGCTCGCCTGGCTCCCCGTCTCCCTCCGCCCCAGGCCCGACAGGCCGGACGCCGTCCGACCCCAGCCGAGGCCACCGACAGGCCGGGCGCCTCGGGCCTCCGTGGGTGCTTGGACTCTCCCGCCAGCACCACTGCCGCCGGGAGAAAGGTCGTGGCGGCTCGCAGCGCTCCCCCCCTCCCGGCCCCCCCGCTGGCTCCTTGGTGAGGTGCTACTCGGCGGCGGCCGCGCTGGGGGGATGTGGGGGCGCCGGGCCGAGGCGGAGGGGGCCGGGTGTGGGGAGGGTGAGCCACCTGTCTCTCTCTGAGTCGGGGGTCACTTGCTGGAGCCCCCGGTGCCTTCTCTCGGCCGTCGGCCTGGCAACCGCCAGCTGTGGCGGTGCACGTGGGTGGCGGTCTTGGGTGGGGATGGGAGCAGAGCGCCGGCCGCCGCCGGCCCCCGCCGCCCCCGCCCGGGCAGGCGGTGGTTGGAAAGCGGTTGTGGGCGTCTCACGGTGGCCGGACCACCCGACAGGGGAGGCCAGAGAGCAGGGAGATAGATGCAGGAGGCCAGTGGGGCGAACCCGCGGGCCGGGCTGGTGGGAAGGGGCGGAGGCCCCCGGGGGACAGACGGGGTGCCCTTGGAGGCCCCGGGTCAGTCCAACTGCACGACCGCTACCCCGAATCCTGGGGCAGAGGGGCAGGCGTGTTCCCCGACACAGCTTCCTCCACCCCACGGCCCCCGGCCCCGGCCCCGGCCCCGGCCCCGGCCCCGGCTCCGGCCCGGCCCGCCCGGCCCGGCTCCGGCCCCGGCCCGGCCCGGCTCCGGCCCCAGCCCCAGCACCAGCACCAGCCCCAGCCCCAGCCCCAGCCCCAGCCCCAGCCCCAGCCCCACGTGGCCGGCGCCCCAGCTGGATGCCGCTCGGAAGGTGTTCCCCTTGGCGCCTTAGCGCCCACCTAGGCAGGGGAGCCTGCAGCCCTGTCTCCGCCCGGGTGGGTGCGGGTGCGGGTCTCCTGGCGCCGCTGCTCCTGCAGGTGACCCGCAGCGCCCCGCCTCCTTCCTGCCAACGCTTGCACGCCGGCCCTCCAAGGCTTTGCTGTGTGTCCAGAGACTGTCTGTCTCGGTCGGAGGCGCAGAGGCCGGCCCGCGCGGTGCGTGAGCCTTCGGCGGCTCGCTGGCTGGATCGGGACACGGTCCGGCCGGCGGTGGAGAGGAGCGCCTGTGGGCCTCCGGGTGCTTCCCGTCAGCACGGGCAGTTCCCTCAGAGCCCTCGCCTCTCCCTCTGCCTGTATGGGTGGGGGTGGGGGTGCGGGGAGTCCGCGACGGTGGGGGATAGCGCGGGACGAAGGTGTTCTCCCCGGCGCGTCGCCTCCCACGGGGGTCAGGGCACAGGCGCAAAGCGTCCCGGAAAGAGGGGAGGGCCAGGAGCGGCCGGAGCCGGGCAGTGGGAGAAGGAGTCCCGGGTGTGTGCGTGGAGTGAGGGCCCGGGAGGTGTGGCGCCGGCGGGCACTGGCCGAGAGTGGGGCTGGCCACTGAGGCAGGGTGTCTGCGGGGGCTCGGGTGCGGCAGGGCACCCTGCCCGGCGCCTCGCCTGCACCCGTGCACCTGTGCGGGCGGGCGAGCTGTGAGGTAGGGGACGGGACACGCTGGGCGTGTGCCTGAGGAGCCTGTGGGAGACCGGGACTGCCGGCCTTGAGTGTAGGACGTGGGTGTGGGGTCCAAGGGGTCGGTGGTAGGTGGAGGGTTTGAGCCTGGAGGCTGGAAGGAGCGGCACGTGGCACGTGGGTGGCGGTGGGGAGTCGGTCCCGGTGCCAGAGGGCTGGGAGACCCCGTGGTGGCGGTGGACGGCGGCGGGAGAGGTGCCGGGAGGCCGCTGGGCTGCGCTGGGCTGCGCTGCAGCAGGGTGGCCGGGCAGACGAGCGGGTGAGCGAGCGAGCGAGCGAGGTGCAGGGGGCGGGAGTGGCAAGCAGGCAGCTGCGCTGGCGGCCGGGGCCGGCCGAGGGAAAGAGAGAGAGGGAGGGAGGGACTGTTCCTCCCTCTGGGTGTCGGAGCTGTTCCCACGGGGTGAGGAATTCCACCGCCCCGGACATGACCATTCCCCGTCATCGTCATGGGGACCACCAGCCACGTCTCAGGTGTCAGGTGTCGTCGTGGGCTTGAGATTCAGGGAGGCCAAAGGGACAGACGCAACACAGGATCATCGACCAGTGAGGACTCGGAAAGGAGGGCGCGTGGAGGCGGGTGACAGGGGTGGGGACGTTGGGGCAAGAGGGGCTGGTGGGGGTGGAGGGGCCGGCGGCGCTGGTGCTCGTGTTGCTGCTGCTGCTGCTGCCGCCGCTGCCACCACCGCCGCCACCGGTGATGGTGGTGGCGAACTTTGGCGCTGTTGGTGACGGCGTCCCCGGGGCCCCGGTGGAGACGGTGGACTCAGTGAGCGATGGGGGTGGGTGGGGTCCGGGAAGGCCTTGGGTGCCGTCGCCGGCGATGCCCATGCCCGGCGCTGGATTCGGTCCTGCTGCTGCTGCTGCTATGGCAGTGGTGATGTGCTGGTGGTCCTGGGGCTTGGTGGCGGACTCGGTGCTGGTGGGGTCGTGGTGAGGGAGGGTGGAGGACTTCAGGGCCGTGGGCCATGCTACCCGTGCCGGTGTGCTGATGGTGGCCTCGGTGGTGGCGGTGACCGCGGAGGACTTCAGTCTGTTGGCGACCATGCCCACGCTGGCCTGCTGGCAGTGGGCACGTCCTGCTGCTGCTGCTGCTGCTGCTGCTGCTGGTGCAACTGCCTCTGGCACGGTGGCGGTAGTCCTGGTGCTGGTGCTGGTCGTGGTGTGGGGATGGTGGTCCTGGGGGTTGGTGGTGGACCAAGTGCTGCGGGGGTCGTGGAGGCCGGCCGGGCGGGGGGGGGGGGAGGTGACTGACCTCCGTGCCCTTGGCCGTGATGCCCATGCTGGTGCGCCGCCGTTCGTGGACCCGACGTGCTGGTGACAGCCGTGGCGGTGGCGCTGTCTCTCGAGGCTGGGTGTGCTAGCGCCGGTGCCGGCTAAGGTGGATGGACCTGGTGCTCGCGGTGACTTTAGCAGTGGGGAGTGGCCCGCGTTTGAAGGAGACCGCGGCCAGGTCGCCGTAGAGAGCATCCGGGGCTGCCAACGGGAGGATGTCGAGGAGCCGTGAAACGGGGCTCCCTGGCGCGCTCCAAGGAGTGGCTGAGGGCCCCTCCAGAAGAGGGGTGGCAAGGTGGTTGGTGGTCGGTCGTCGTGCAAAGAGAGGAGGGTTTGGGGAGTGTGGGTAGAATGAGCCATTGAGGGAGGGAATGTGAAAGGCATGGAGGTGGGCTGTGCCCGGGCGGGCGCGGGCGGTGCTTGGAAGCATTGCTTGAAGTGACGTGGGTGAGCGAAGCGCCGTCCGGGTCGGGTCAGGGTCACGGAGAGAAAAAGGGCAAGGACAACGTGGGGCCGGGCAAGGGACCTGGGCCACTTCGGGCGGCAGGGGTCGGGCAGGCAGCCGGGTGGAGCGTGGCGGCCAGGGCGGCCAAGGGCGAGAGAACAGACAAGGAGGCAGGGGGAAGCGGGGCGGGGGGGGGGGGGGGGGGGGGCAGGAGGGCAGGGCCCCGCGGCCTGAGCACACCTGGTTCAGGCTCAGGCCCTGTGGCTTGAGCGCGTGCGCGAGGAAGCCGGGGGCGCGCGCGGCCAAAAGGGGGCGGCGCGCTGCATGGGCCGGGAATCGAACCCGGGCCTCCCGCGTGGCAGGCGAGAATTCTACCACTGAACCACCCATGCACCGGTGGTGGCGGCCACCAGACGGCTTCCCCAGCGGCGCTCGTCGTCGTCCCGGCACGGCCAGTGGTGAGCACCCCCTGCGCGGGGGCGGGCGGCGGGCCCGCGGTCTGCAACACAGGCTCCACGCCCGTGCAGAGGCGCCGAGGGCTCGGGCTCGGGCTCGGGCTCGGGCCGGCGCGCGGCGTCCACGGTCCCAGCGAGGCCCCGAGGCGGACTAGGCTCACCCTGTGCCCTCTCCCTGGGGCGTGGCCGCCGCCAGACACTGTCCTGCCGCTGTCTTGGAGGAGCCTGGCCAAGCCTGACCCGCGCCCGATTCCCAGGCAGCGCGGGGCGTCTGTGGCCGGCGCAGCTCAGCGCGGACCTTCCCTTCCGTCCCGGCGCCCCCCCGGAGGCCCTTGGGCGGATGGCTGTCCGGCCCGTGCAGTGCGCGCCGGCGGGGGCCGGCTGGGGCCCGGAGCTCGGATTGTGTGCGCTC